CTCCGCCTCTCCCTCGCACTTCATGGCCTTGCTGAATGCGGAGAAATCCCAGCTCGGCTCAGAATTCCTCGGGGCGGAGAAGGTGAGTTTGCAGTCCAGCTCTGCCACTATTGCCCATATGGCCCAACACCGCCACGCTCAGGGATCGCGCGCGCTCGTCTGGGAAGATTGCAAGCCATCGCACATCGTTGTACACTGACAAGCCACGGCGCTCAGATCGCAATGTGATCAGTGTAGCTGGAACTCGTGCCCATAGTGGGGCCACATGAGATCCAGCTTGTGATCGCCGCCACGCCGCTGTCCCCCATGCATTATCTGCGCGCCGTACCAGCCGCGTGCTCCATGATTCGGGCAAACGGCCCAAGGCTCGCGCTGCTTGTCTCCAGCGCGAGGCCGTCGCTTGATTAGGGTCCCAGTCCATCACTCAAGCCAGTATATGCGATAGCTGCGCGATCCGGCACGTCATTCTCGACGCCGCAGAGCGCCTCGACCAGGCGCCGCACAGCGGCCCTGCGCTTCGGGACGCCCCTCGCCTCCGCGCACCAGGGGGGGAGGGGTAGCTTGCGATCGAGGTGATGTCGAGCAGGGGGGGTTTGACTCTGACTGCTCCACGTCTCACGCGAAGCGAAATTTGTGCCGACCAGAAATACTTGAGGCGCGATCTGCGGAATCGCTTCCTACCGCGCCAAATCTCGACCCCGCAGCTTTTGCTAGACATGCCCCTCTCGCACTGCCCCAGCTGAACTTCAACACCATCATGTCCTCATGATAGGACAGCTCGCGGTAAGTTGGGCGGTCCGCAGCTCGCTCGGCTGTCGCCCCAGACAGTAGTGCGACGTTTGCGAAATTCGCCTGTTGAGCGACCTCCAGTCTTTTGTCATAGTCTGAGAGCGACAATGGGTTCCATTGCACCGTCCTCATCTGAGAGGCCACGCATCTCAGCGCTAACGCGAGGTCAAGGATAGCAAGGACGCGCCAACTGGCCCTATGCCCCCGCGACCTCGGGCCAGGGCTCGATGAGTCTGATGATGATGATGATGATGATGATGAGGAGGAGGATGATGATGATGATGATGATGATGCTGATGATGATGCTGACGCTGATCCTGATGATGAAAGTGGTGGTGCTGATGATGATGCTGATGCTGATGCTGATGATGCTGCTGATGGTGATGGTGATGATGATGATGATGCTGCTGATGATGATGATGATGATGATGATACTGATGATGATGATAATGGTGGTGTTAATGATGATGATGCTGATGCTGCTGCTGCTGATGATGATGATGATGATGATGATGATGATGATGATGATGACGAAGATGAAGATGAAGATGATGGGGCCACCGCGAGGGTGCGAAGTTATTTGCGCTTCGCGGTCTCGGCGGCGCCGAAGCGAGGTGCGAAGTGATTCGCGTGTCGCCGTCTCAGCTTGCGACGGCCTGCAGAGCGAACGTTGACGCGCTTCGCAACCTCGGGGCTGCGTCGCGGGCTTCGCGGCCCGAGCGACGTCGGCGCGAGGCGCGAAGCTCTTCGAGCGAAGGCGGCCGCGCTTCACATCCCCGGGGACGGCCGACGAGGGGTTGCATCGCGGGCCTCTTTGGAACAGGAGGCTTGAGCGGGCAACGGGGCCGAACAGCTAAGAGTCTGAAAGGGCGGCCAGGCCTGGGGGGCGGGGGATTTGAACGGGCGGCAGGGCCTGGAAGCGAGGAGTTTGACGGGGCCGTCGGGCTCGGAGGCGCAAGATTTGCACGGTCACCGCGGCCTGGAAGCAGGGCGTCTGAGAGGGCAGTAGGCGGGGAGCAGGATATTTGAACAGGCGTCGGGGCCTGGAAGCAATGGATTTGAACAGGTGGTCTGGCCTGGGCGCCAGAGATTTGAGTTCGCTCGGAGAATCGGGCCTGGAAGCGGCGGGTCGAGGCGGGCGGAGGGGGGGGCCTGGAAGCGCGAAGTGTGAATGGGCGGTCTGGCCTGGAAGCAGAGGCCCAACAAGGGCGGCGGGCCGCGGGGCTTAGAATATAGGAGTTTGACTGGGGAGTCGGGCCTGGCAGCGGGGGGGTTGAATGGGCGGTGGCGCGCGGAGGCAAGGGATTTGAACGAGGAACATGGCCTGGGCGCCAGGGGTTTGGACGGGCGGCGGGGCTTGTAATAAGGGCGTTTGATTGGGGGGTCGGGCATGGGGGATTTGAACGGGCGGTGGCGCCTGGAAGCAAAGGGTCCGAGTGGGCAGTCTGGCCTGGAAGCCGCGGATTTGGACGGGCGGCGGGGCCTGTAACGGAGCAGTTTGATCGGGGTGTCTGGTCTGGAAGACGAGGTTTGAACGGGCGGCGGGGCCTGGAAGCAGGAGATTTGAATCGGCGGTCCAGCTTGGAAGCAAGGGGTTCGAACGGGCGGCGGGGCTTGGAATAGAGAACTCGGCTGGGGAGTCGGGCCTGTGAGCAGGGGATTTGAACGGGCGACAGGACTTGGAAGCAAGGGGCGTGAGTGGGCAGTCTGGCCCAGGGGCCAGGGATTCGAACGGGCGGCGGGGCCTGGGACAGAGAGGCTTCACGCGGGGGCCAGGCTTGGAAGCCGGGGATTTGAGACGGCGGCGGGGCTTGGGAAAAGGTAATTTAATGGGAAGTCCTGCCTGGGAGCCAGGGGCTCGAACGGGCGGGTCGGCCTGTAATGCAGGAGGAGTTTGATTGGGGAGTCGGGCCTGGCGGCGGGAGATTTTAACGGGCGGCGAGGCTTGGAAGCGAGGGATTTGAGCGGGCAGTCTGACTTGGGCGCCATGGGTTTGAACGGGCTGGGCTTGGAATGGGGAGTTTGAATGAAAGGACGGGCTTTGAAGCGCGGCACTTGAAAAGGCGGCGGGGCCTGGAAGCAGGGGATTTGAATGGGCAGTTTGTTTGGGAGTCAAGGATTGCGAAGGCCTTGCGGCCAGCGCCGCCGACCCTGAATGTGGGGTGATTACGACGACAACGGCGGCGGCGGCGGCGACGACGACGCTGACGTGGGCCAGAGCCTTCGGGGATGCCGCTTGGGGTCTTTTCGGGCGGCTCCCGGGGGGCTCTTGGGGTGAATTCTGGGGCCTCCTGGGAGCCTCTCGGGGACCTCTTGAAAGCCTCTCGCGGGCTTCTCCTGGCTTCCTGGGGACCTCTCGTGGGCTTCTTGGAGCGCCCTGGACTTCTTGGGGCCTCCTGGGAGCTTCTCGGGGCAGGGGGCGCGTTGGCTGGCCAGGAGGAGCTGGCTGGTTGTGGGGGGGAAGGGTGGGCGACTGGCTGCGGGGATGGGGAGAGGGGCGGGCGCGGCGCTGGTGCCGTGCGAACATGACATTGTCGGGGCGGAAGGGGCGCGCTGGCTGACTGGGGAGGAGAAAGATGGCTGTCTGCGGAATTGGGAGGGGGACATGCGCGGCGCCGGTCCCTCCCAAAACAAAAGAGGTCGGGGCGGACGGGGCGAGCTGGCCAGTGGGGGAAGTGGAGGTGGGCTGGCTGCGGCTGTGGAGGAGGGGAGGGGTGGCGTGCGCGGCGCCGGTGCAGTTCCAAAACACAGGGGTCGGGGCGGAGTGGGCGCGCTGGTTGGTGGGGGAAGAGGAGGAGGTGGGCTGGCTGCGGAGGGGGGAGGGGTGGCGTGCACGGCGCCGCCGCTGTGCCAACATACAGCGATCGGGGCGGAGGGGGCGCGCTGGCTGGTGGGGGAAGAGGAGGTGGGCTGGCTGCGCAGGGGGGCGGCGCCGGGGTGGCGTGCACGGCGCAAGTACCGTGCCAAAATATCACAGTCGGGGCGGAAGGGGCGCGCTGGCTGGTAGGGGGGAAGTGGGCTGGTTGTGGAGGGAGAGAATGGGGCGTGCGCGGCACAGGTGCCGTGCCAAAATATAGCCGTGGTGGCGGATGGGGGCGGTGCTGGCTGGTGGTGGTGGAGGTGGGCTGGCTGCGGAGGGGGGGAGGGGGGGGCGTGCGCGGCGCCGCTGTTTTGCCACAGTAGCATGGTCGGGGTGGAGGGGGCGCGCTGGCTGGTGGGGGAAGAGGAGGTGGGCTGGCTGCGGAGGGGGAGAAGGGGGCGTGCGCGGCGCGCCAGTGTGATGTGCGCAGCGCGAGTGCCGTGCCAAGGTAACACGGTCGGGGCGGATGGGGCGCGTTGGCTGGTGAGGGAAGAGGAGGTGAGCTGGCTGCGGAGGGGGGGGGGGGGGGCGTGCGCAGCGCCTGTGCCGTGCCAAGATAGAACGGTCGAGGCGGAGGGGGCGCGCTGGTTGGTGGGGGAAGAGGAGGTGGGCAGGCTGCAGAGGGGGGAGGGGTGTGTGCGCGGCGCCGGTGCCGTGCCAAAGTAAAAAGGTCGGGACGGAGAGGACGCGCTGGCTCTCTAGTCGAGTGGTTTCCTCGGACCTTGTTGGAGGTCCTCTCTTGGGCCGTCGTGGATCAATACTCGGCCGCCTTGGGGCCACCGTGGGCAGTTTTCGAAGTATATTGGGCCATCTCGGTGTCTTTGGTTGCCTGCATGGGCCGTCTTGGAGGCTCGGAACGCACACCGTTCGTTATAATCGAGGGGTCATTGCTTGGGAGGCCCTGGAGCGTTTGGGAGCAGCGGCTGGGAATGCGGGAAGTGCACGATCCTCGAGCGGGTGCGTTTGGGATGATGGGCCTAGGAGTTAGCAGCCATGCGGTAAGTGCACAATCCTCAGGCGGGCGCGCATGAAATGAGGGTTCAAGCAGGCGTGAACTGTCATGCGGGAAGTGTATCATCCTCCAGCAGGCACGCGTGGAATGGGGGTTCAGGCATTGGCTGCCATGCGGAAAGTGCACCGTTCTCGAGCAGGCACGCGTGGAATGGAGGTGGTGGCATGAGCTGCCATGCTGGAAGTGCACCATCCTCGAGCGGGCACGAGGGAAGTGGCCCCGGTGAGTAGGGGGTATGCACGCAACAGTTTGTGAGTAGAGGGAGGGGTGGTCCTTTATTAGATTACGAAAGCCCTGACCAGGCAGACCTTGGCATTGTTCCACGCCTCAACGTGCCAGGGGGCACGGTGGCGGATGATCCGCCGCTTCGGGGGGTCCACGTCGCCGCTTGCGCAGTGGCCAGAGGACGACGCCATCGGCGAGGACGAGGACGACCGCATGGAGCGCATGGAAAAGCTGATCGACAAGGCGATGAAGCGCATGACGAGCAGCAAGGGCGGCAAGAAGAGGGGCGGCTCCAGCAGCGGCCAGAACGGCAGCTCCATGAACCAGACCACCATGTCCGACGAATCGGACGACCACAACGACAGCGACGATCACGACTGAGCACCTGAGCCCTGGGACTGTTATGCTATCGTGACCATGTTGGTACCGCGGTATCCTTAGGTCCGTTCCTCCGTCGCCGCCGCCTCCGCGTGGATTCCGCCGTTCCCTTCTGGGGGTCCAGGTGCCATCATGCTTCTCCTTGCTGAGTTGTGTTATCATTGTTTTCCTGAAGTGTCCAATGCCACACCCTCCCCCTCCCGTCTTCTCTTCACTCTTGCTCAGGAGCTGACCCAGCGTTATGCCTCAGAGCGTCGCGGCAAGCTGGCCCCAGGCTTCTTGGCATTACGGCTGCCCGTATCACTGCGAGACCTCCCCTCCTTGTGTTGGCCCGGCGCTTGAATCCCGTCTGCACAGGCCATGTGGGGGGTGCCGCACTCGCCGCCGCCCTTTGCTGTTGAGCCGCGCCGAAGGCCAGCCCACCACGCCCGGGCATCGTTCCGAGGCTGAGGAGGAGGAGGAGGAGGAGGAGGAGGAGGAGGAGGAGGAGGAGGAGGAGGAGGAGGAGGAGGAGGAGGAGGAGGAGGAGGAGTGGGGGGGGGAGCGCGCCGATTCTGGCCAGAGCCGTTGGCCCCGAGGGCCCCAAAGGTCCGCACGATGCTTCCCGCACTCGCCTCTCCGAACAGCGCGGGCGTCGAGAACTTACAGTCAGGGCGCTGAAGAAGGAACTCTTCTCGTTGGGGAGGGGCTCCGTGTTCCTTGATTGTTTCACAGTTTGCCTTAGGTTGTCCTTAGGTTTTCGATGGAAAATCGAAGCTTCACTTGTGGAAAGAAGGGGCCCCGTCCTTTATTGAGGGTTCCTTAGGCCTACGCCCCGACTGTATCCCGCGCGCGCGTCCGCCGCCCGGTACACCATCTTCCTGGGCCTCGGGAGGCAGCAGACGTGCGTGCGCTCGGGCCCCCCTCGGGCCCGAGCATGCCCGTGTCCACCACCGCCACCTGGGCTCCCGGGGGGCCCGGGGACATCGGTCCTCTGGGCGGTGGACAGCGTGCAAAGCCCCGCCCCGCAGCCGTGGAAAGGAGAGAAAACGCCAGGGCGGGCGCGCCTGGCCTCGCTCACCGCGAGGCCCACAGGAGGGCCCCTCGCGGACAGGCCCGGCCCGAGAGGCTGCGGTGCGGACTGCGGGGGCCGATTGTTCTGGCCGTCGGAGTCTCAGGGGCGCCGCCGCGGCCTCCTCCGCCTTTTTTTTGTGTGCCCGCGGCGCTGGGAGTCGGGGAGCACCGCCGGCGCGAAGTCCGCGCTTCCGTCGGAGCTCCGCCCTTCCCCAAATGGGGCCGCGGCGGGGCCCGCCATCGGGCAACGGCCAGACTTTTCCCAGCGTAGATCCGTGAGGGGAAGAGAACGTCAGCGACATGCCGCCGCTGGGAGCCCGTCAGCGTGCTGCTCCTTCGCTTTGGTCGAGGAGGAGGAGGAGGGGGAGGAGGAGGGAGGAGGGAGGAGGAGGAGGAGGAGGAGGAGGAGGAGGAGGAGGAGGAGGAGGAGGAGGAGGAGGAGGAGGGGGGAGGAGGGGGAGGAGGGGGAGGAGGAGGGAGGAGGAGGAGGAGGAGGAGGAGGAGGAGGAGGAGGAGGAGGAGGAGGAGGGTGTTCTTCAACAGTCGCGCGGTGATGGGCTCCCCACGGCGGCGTGTCGTCGACATTGCTCTTGCTCCCGCACGCGGTGGGTTCGCGTCGAGTCGACCAGCGGCGGCCCCCAGCGCGGGCGCTGAAGGTTGAACTCTAGGCCTCCCAGATGGGGTCGGAGTAGATGGGGTCGGAGGATCGCGCCATATCGCCGATGCGTCGCCGATGCGGCTCGATGTGGGGCCCGATTTGCTTCGCGTTGACGTCACCGACACATCGCCGACGTCGCCAATGCATTGCCGATGCATCGGCGATACATCAGCGATGCAGAGCAATCCGCCGACCCCATCTACTCGGACCCCATCTAGGAGGCCTCTATGAACGCCGCCCGTGGCCCAGAACCGGCCCCTCGTCGAACGATCCGGCGTTTCTGTAAGGGCCGATCCTCCAAGTCTGAACGACCCCTCAGGAACCAACGCCAGGGTCGACACGACGCGATCCTGCCGTACCTGTCGTATCTCTGGCGCACGTCTCCCTGGACCTCCGAGCGCCCGCGATCCCACCTCCGCGGCGCCCCCGCAGGGCCCTTGACCCCTCCCCCCCGCGTCCCCAGGACTGTCTTCTCCCGCCGCGGGCACCAGGGGCACTGTTCTGGGGGCGGGGCACCAGACAGGCCTCGGGGTCGATGCATCGACCCCCAATCGCCCACTCGTCGCCGATAGGGGCCTGCTGCAGTGCGGACGCTGAAGTAGGGACCACTTCGAGTCCAAGAGGGGGACTGGTCTTCGGGCCGTCCCCTTGATCTGAGTCGGAAGCGTTTTCGTGGCCAAGGCTCGCCGTGACCAGGAAGTCCCCTCGTTCCGTATGGTAGCACGATTGCCGTAGCCCACTCCGCCCAGGAACGCGCGGTCTCGCGATCGGGGGCCTATCGCCGATCAGTCGGCGATGCAATGCCGATTCCACGTCCATGTGTCCCCTCCCTCCCCACAGCCTGTCCCCCCTATCATTGCTCCTCAAGCCTCTGTACGGCCGCCGGCCTCCCCCAGACAAAACTACCTCGGTTGCCACCGGATCGCAGAAGCGCTGGCCGTCGTGATATCTCTGCTGGCGGGCGCGCGGAGGTCCAGGTCTGCAGTTTAGCGGCGACGCGTGCGCGCGTGTGCTCCTGCTCGGGCGCTGGAGGGGGGGGGGGCGCCCGCGTGTTATGAAAGTGCGCCTCTGGGGCGAACCCACCCAGGGGTCATGGAGATGCCAGGCCATCCCCCTCGCTGCTCGGCCTCCTCCTCCTTCTCCCCTTTCTCCATCATCTCACCTTTTTCTTTTTCTTCCTGCTTACGCACCCTCCCTTCTCCCCACTCACTCCTCCTCCTCCTCCTCCTCCTCCTCCTCCTCCTCCTCCTCCTCCTCTTCCTCCTCCTCCTCTCCATATGCTTCCTCTCTCCTGCCGTTCCTCCTCCCTCTCGTCCTTACTCCTCATCCTCCACCCTCTCTCCCTCCCTCCTTCTCGTGCCGCGCCAGGGTATGTTTAAATAGTCAATACGAGTCAATTTGCTTTGAGCTTCAAGCCGTCTGCTTGTACTGAGCTGCTGGTGCCGCGGCTTCGGGCCGTAGATCCAGACCCGCTGGGCCGCGTGCGCGCGTGCGAGCGCGAGCGAGCCTTGTCGGATTGCTCGTCGCTTTTCTGTCGGCACGAAATGCCACTCCTCGACCTCCATCCGCCCATCTCCACTCGATGGCTCCTGTCGTCCGCAGGGAGGAAGAGGAGGGAGAGGAAGTCGAGGATGATGATGATGATGATGATGATGATGATGATGATGATGATGATGCTGCTGCTGCTGCTGCTGCTGCTGCTGATGATGATGATGATGATGATGATGATGGTGGTGGTGGTGGTGGTGGTGGTGGTGGTGATGATGATGATGATGATGATGATGATGATGATGATGATGATGATGATGATGATGATGATGATGATGGCGATGATGATGATGATGATGATGATGATGATGATGATGATGATGATGATGATGATGATGTGATGATGATGATGGTGATGGTGATGGTGATGGTGATGGTGATGGTGATGGTGATGGTGATGGTGATGGTGATGGTGATGGTGATGGTGGTGATGATGATTATGATGATTATGATGATGCTGGTGATGATGATGATGATGATGATGATGAGGAGGAGGAGGAGGAGGAGGAGGAGGAGGAGGAGAAGGATCGCACGAAATGAGGTCTCCGGGGGTGATGGGTGAGCACTGCTCCCCCGTCAGCCCGGACGACGTCACTTCCCTCCGCCAGGTGGGAGAGGCAGACGCTCCACCTCTGGCGAGAGGGACGCCGGGCTATACCTCGGCGCTGGCTCTGGCAACGCCCCAGCGCGCGTGCCAGACCCTCCTCGGGGACCGCCCTGGCTGGACTCCTCCCCATGCCTCCGGCGTCTGCTTCCCGCCTCACGGGCACGCCAGTCTCATATCACGAGCGCGACTCCAACAGGGAACGACTCGGGGGTTTTCTTGCCGAGCCGTCGTCGGGTCACTTTCGGCAGAGGGGGACAGACGGGTCGGGTGGCCGCGCCGTCGTCAGAATTCGCAACCTTTCATTTTCGCTATAGTATCCCAGTCGTCGGATTTTCTGCGATCCGGCATGATTTCGTCGCTTTTTGAACCCTCCTCGTGCAGGCCCTCGCTTGCCCAGCTCCTGAGGCCAGCTTCGTGCTGCAGGCCAGCTCTCTCACCGCCTCAGCCGGCGCCAGGTATGGACGAACGTACCCTCCTACTTCGCAAGCGGCGGCACTTCGGACTCTGCCCCAATGGCGGCTGCCACGCTCCTCCTACTCCTCTTCGTCCTCCTCCCTCCTCCTCCTCCTCCTCCTCCTTCTCCTCCTGCTCCTCCTCCGTTGCCGTTTTGGCTTAAGATGCCAATGTCCTGCGGGCAGAGACTGAATACCTTCACGCCGAGGCCAGATCAGGAAAATTGTGTGAACTCCTGGAAGAGCGACTCATTTTCGACCGCACTTGCATCACCGCGCGCGCTGATAACTTGAGGCTTGTCCAGTTCCTGCGCGAACTAGTGCTTCGTGTAGTGGCATGGCGGGAGAGAAACACGCGAAGGATAAGAAGGCCAAGAAGTCAGGGGAGATGCGAGCACACCTTCTCGTCGGCCTCGCGACCGTGCTCCCACTCCTCAGTCTGATGATGACGGTGGGATGTTTCAGGTCATGGCAGGGTCCTCTCCCCCCTGCGACTCGCGGACACCACGGAAGGCGCCATGCTCGGTCCAGAGGCGGAGAATCCACCACCGATGGACAGCGTTCAAGGAGCGATCGCAGTGGCCTCGGCCCGATTCTGACCAGCGCACCAGGGAGAGCACAGAAGGAGCCGACCTCTTCGACGGGATCTCGCAGATGGCCACGTTCCCGTGGCAGGAGCTGGATG